AATGTGAATAGAAAGTGATTGCAGCTGAAATAATCCAAAATGAGATTTCAAGACTTGTTTCTATTCACTTTTTTGCTCTGCGTAAGTGCTTTGGTACTCTCACAGAAGACTAAACACCTCTAATTGCACATACTTTGGGAAATATGACATTTTTCTGTAAATGTTGATATTTGTTTAGCGTTCTCTTCTGTTGTAATGTCTGGGATCAATTATCTCAGCAGGGTTTTTACTGAAGGTGAAACCTCAGTGGTTGACTAAGCTAGTATTAATAGGTATTTATGTGTTTTACTTCTAAACAAAAACAACCATTTTGGAGAGGCGGACACACCCTTGCAATATGAAAGAACTCTGTCTTCTTGGATTATTATTTCTATTTGATGTAATATTCTCCTACACTTAAAAAATGTAGTTTGGTCATAGTTATAATATGAGCTGGCAAAGCAGCTAGAAAAGTGATCCAAAAAGTACAGCGAGTTAAAATGTTTAAATCTAATTTAACTACTGTAACTGCTCAGTATGACAGAGTTTCTCTCTGTAGTAATTTTCTTGTCTTCGGCAGAACTTTGACGTGCTGGCTATGATTTGAACGTTTCTCCATTAAATAATGTGAAGTTCGTTTTCATTAATCAACCAAAGTAATCACTTTCATAGCTGAAAACGACATCTGGAGGAGTGTTTACATTTTAGTTGGCCTTTTGAATGTGAGAAATAAAAGATTTGTCTAGTTAAGCACATTTTTTTAAATTCTGAAATGAACTGTTTCTTCTTATACTACGTTTTAGGTATAAAAAGATTTTAAATGAATTGAATTTAGCAGATAGGTTGCTAAACTTGAAGAGAAATATGAATTTATCTTTATTTATAGTCATGCTTAAAGCAATTCATTTTGCAGACATGAATTTGAATGATATTTGAAAATCTCACAAATCAGTATAAAAGTAACTCCCCTGATTTCGTTAGTGTACGATCTTTAAAATCATGATGTCATACCTGTGGGGTCGTTATTCTCTCAGTGGGAGGCCGAGTAAAATTGTGAACACCGAGCGCCCACGATGAAACCCAGCAGCAGGGGACCCCTTCGGCTTGAACGATGTTGCCTAAAGTGGGGAACTGTTTTTCTCCTGGGACGAACGTGAACGATTACTTTGTGGTTTCCCCCGCAGCAGCATCAGGCGTTTGGGGAGAGATTGAGATCTGCCTCTTTTACCGTGGAAATGATTCTGGAAGCGTTTGGTTGCGTGTGTTCGGTGACCTCAGTAAAGCCTCGTGGTCTCATCTGATTCTTCTTTTTCCCCTTTTGTTGCGTTGAGGTGAGGTTGAAGTTTCCAGACATAGTTCTGGAAGGAATGGCCTAGTATCCAGTCCACGTTATTGCATGTGGACAGTGGAAATTTAACTCGCAAAATTAAGGCCAGACTCATAACAGGTGTCGCACTATTGTAATATTAACTCTCTCTGTCGCTATGTAATACATATTATACAATATATGGTATGTAGTAAATGAAAACCAGAACTAGCTAGTGTTCCTCAAAAATTATTTATTAAGTGAGAAGGAAGACGACTTTAATTGGTTAAGACATTTCTAGCTCACTTTATGGAGGCCTTCTGCAACATGACTACTTTTTCCAGTGCTTGTACTGTATCAGAGTTAAACCACAGACGGTCTCTCATGGCCGTCTACAGAGTGGCATTTTTTGTTTTGTTTTTCAGAGTTGGCTTGACAGACTCCTCAGCACTCATTCTGTCAGCTGGAAGATTTGTTTTTGCTGCCGCCCACATGGCAGACGCTGAGAAGTCTCTGCAGCATGAACGCTGCTGCGGCTTGACAAAAAAAAGAACTGTCAGGATTGCGATCCCAAGAGGTTCTTTTGGGCCATTTTTGTGAGGAAGGGGGTGAAAACTGAGTGAAATAAAAGCTTTATTGTGTTGGGAAGCCATATTTTTCAGTCTTTGATAAACTTCAGCCTGGCTTATTGGTTGTAAATATGTGACGTTAAAATAACATCCAGGCTTGGGAAAGATGAGCAATTGCATGCAATCTACACAAGCATAGGCAACGCTCTTTAGTAATGTGCAAATATTAGAACGGCTATTGCTTCTGGGAAATCTGCAAATGCACACATGCATTGCATTATAATTGTCACACTTGTGCTTTCTTGACTAGGAATCACGTTTTGAGTTTTTACTGCAGTGCTGTTAATCTTAATGATGGGTGTTTGTTAATTCTATAGTTGATTTTAATTAGTTGTATTTAAAATTAGCTTATACCGTTGAAGCATTGAAGAAAAGACTTAGGGTGCTTTCACACTAGCACTTTTGGTGCGAACCGTACCCGAGTCCGCTTAAAAAGGGTGGTCTGGGGTACGGTTCAAGTGAACTCCGGTACAGTTCGCTGCTGATGTGAACACAATCGTAATAAATCGCAGAAGTGAACTGCTATTTATGACATATTATTTGATAAAAATGTGTGTTTGTGTGTGTGTTTCACTCACTTTCCTGATGAGCGTGACTGACTCACTGCAAGCAGTGAGCTGTATATCTAATTTCTGTTGGCCTTCAGCATTCTTTAGAGCATTTGCAGTACATTTGTAAGACAGACGTAAGCGCTGTTATGTACTGAAGATTTGGAAACAAAATGAATGGTTCAAAAACATAAATATATAAAAAAAGAAGTGAGCAACTATGCATTTTGCTGCCTTCTCCTGCGCCGTCGTTACTAAGCAACGGGGTAAACAGCTGCTGGCTTAACGATGCAAACGAACCGCGGTTCGGACCCAAATAAAATAATATGAACGCAGTCCAGTGGGGGCAGGGGGAGGGGGGCGCAAACGAACCGCGGTTCGGACCAGGCAAGCGAACCAAGTGTGAAAGCGCCCTTAATTTAACGACTTGGGTTCAATGTGGTGAATATGGGATATTTTTCCAGTTAAATAAGTGTCTCAATCTTGACGGACGCAAAAAGTAGTCTTGGTATAAACACCATTTGTCATAGTTGTACCTGCATGCAAGTACCATGAGTTATATTTTATGGACCATTTGAAACTTTAAAAAACCCTGAATCCACAAATGTGCGACTGAACAAAACTGTTTTAGAGATCTTATGGAAAATGTTCCGGAGGAGGTAAGTCGTCTGGTGGCCTTCTTGAAATGGGCTGATAACAACAAGCTGGGTGGTTGTTTTCTGTCTTAGTTCAAAGGTATTTACTCTGAAGGGAAATTGACTGGGGGGAAAAAACATAAGGTGTGTTTAAGAAAGCTCTAAACTAGACCTAGATTCAGTTCTTCATAGCTCAAACTTTACACAAGTTGACTTCACGTTTGCAAGAGTTCATGTTTGAGACCCCAAGACCAATAACTAGCTCAAAATAAATGTGAGGGGAAAAAAACATTAACACTGAAGAATAAGTTTGATTAATCTGATGGATCAAGCTATAATGATGTCTGATAATATCACATATTTAATAATGATTGATTCATCACAGAAGTGGAAACTGTGCAGAATTGTTCACATCTGAGGGTTTACGCTAATTGTGATGTATTGGTGTACCTTTAAAGCGTTTCAAATCTGTGTCTGAATCCCTCAGGTGTTTTCTGGGGCTCAGAGATCCTAAATGATCCAAACCTGTTGTGAGTTCTTTTTGGAGACGCCGGTATGCAAGACGTGGCAGCAGCAGATCAGGCCAACCTGAAGATTTGTTCCATATGTTTTCTGAGCAGAGCCTCTCTCTCTAGCCTCCACCCCTCTATGTTGTTTTTTCCCCCACTTCTTAACCCGTTCAGACCCAAATTAATTAGTTTTATCTCTAGAACTGCTCTGAGAGTCTCTTCTTGAGCATTTGACCATTTCTTTTGAGAAAAACTATCATCATATCATATACAAACAAAAACTTACAGGTCTTCACAGCAAACTTTCAAAATAAAAGTTTCGTTGAACTTGAAGAAACTGTGACAGAAATATATTACTTAATGTAATGATAGTAATACTACTAATAATACAATTATTATTAAAAAACACTAGATAAATAGAAATACACAATGAAGTATTTTCTTTAAAAAAAAGAAAGAAATCAAATAATAATAAATTATTTTTTATAAAATCAATTATTTAGAGATACATTTGATTATGAAATTGAATGAAACCATAATTGGAATCTAGAAAATTTAAACCATAATTGAATCTAGAAAATTAATGGAAAACAGAATTTGGTTAAAATAAAATGTAAAAGAGTTTAATTAATTAGACATGCTTTTTGATTAAGTAACTTTAATTGAACCATTAAAACTGAGTCTGAAAATTTTAAATGGAAAAAATTGAATCCAGAAAATTGAAAACGGAAAAAAACAGAATTTGGGGGGGGGGGAAATCTAATTAAATTTGGGGAAAAAATACCTTGGATTTCATAGGGCCCTACAGTTGAGCCACAGTGGATTTTTGTGTAGTTGAGGTATAGTCTCAATGCAAAATTAAATAATTAATACGGAGTGATTGTATACTTTGCTTGTGTTGCATTCGCTGTGCACGCTCTTTGTTTTTTAGAGCGAGTGCACAATGCAAAGTCCAATTTGTAGTCTGATTAACATGTGTACATGATGGACAAAGTTGAGCTACAATTACATTATTCAGGACTGGTTCAATTTCTGTAGGACTAAAGAGTTTACAGATTGCCATGCTTCATTCAATTGTATACCTTTGTATACCTGTATAGTTATATAGCATAAGGATTTAACTTAATTTCAACAAGACATCACTTTTGCCTGCCTATATTAAACCCAATATCCTTCCATGGAGTCATTATTTTGCTGGTTTTATTGAATTATCCAGTTGCTGCAGTGTTTTCCCCCCCCAATCCTTACACAAGTCTCCATCTGCTGGTATTTTGTCTTATTGCTGGACAGATGTACACATTCTGAGGCCAACCAGATGTACTGTTTTATTTTTTCTTTATTTTTCTAAAGAAACAACAATATCTGAATTGGAAACAAATAACACGGCACCGCTGGCTAAGAAAACACTTGCTGCAAGTACGGTTTTGCAAATGTCAGGGACGCTGTTGTGTAAACTGTAACCAGCCCGGTGGTCCATACAGATCAGTTTTTCAGAATTTCTGAGATCTGACAAGAATGTCTATGTCCAATATTTCAGAGAAAACCCTGGCAATGGATAAAAAGTTATATAATGGAAAATTTAGCATGCAATATTAGATTTGTTATCACTAAAACTGTTAATAAGCACCAATGAATAATGCCCGTTCTCTAAAATACAAGAAGTAGAACAATAAACAAACTGGCCTTGTACGTTTTATTTATTTCTCTTAGATTCTAGACAGTCGTTCCTTTTAAGCAAAAAATTTGAGACCTTCAATACATGGGGACAAATTGATTTAGCACCTGATCTGAATTAAAACGGTTCTTCGGTCATTATAAAGTCGAAAAGATTTCAGTGTAAACATTAATAATGAAAGCCTATGTAACTATTGCACACAGTGTAGTTGATTCTGTCTTTACTGGAATTCAAAGTCTCCGAAATCCTCACCAAATTCAAGTAACGAGTCTGTAGCCACTGCGCATACTCTTGGATTTTGGATAAATTACGTTCTGTATCACCATGAGGACATGAAATGATAATTTATTACATTAGGATGAAGTTTATGACTTGTTATAATGCTGCCCTCCAGTGGCAAGATGGTACTGTTTCACTCAATTTCTGTGGTTACCCAGTTGCACCGAATTGTGGCTGGAAACACACCGAAAAGTGGGTGGCTGAATCTCCCAGTATTTTACTGGATTTGCATATAAACTGATCCTAGTGTAGAGGGATTTCTTAACCCGGGTTCTTGAAGGGCAAAAGTCATTTACTCCAACATAACTGATGCTGTTGGCATGCAAGTACACCACCTAAAAGAGGAAGTGAAGTTGATTAAATCTCCGTGCACATCATGTGTACTCCATGTTCCAATTGTGTGCATATTTGCGCTTTACCTGCAGATATTTCAGGTTGTTCAAGCCTGGAGGAACTTTCTTCAGTTTATTGTTATCCAAATGAATTTCTCTGACTTTGGAAATGGCAGTGAGGCTTCCGTTCTCAACATACTTGATTTGATTGAAGTCAAGCCAAAGCCTGTAGAAGACACCGGTCTTTAAGTTGCGTTCTCTTTTTGTCCACAAGGTGGAGTTTGTTTACCTTACCTTTGTAGATGTTTTAATCTCAAAAAATCCTCGGACTCTATTTTGGCAATCTTGTTGTAGTCCAAGTGAAGTTCCGTGAGGGAAGATGGCAGATCTGTGGGATTTAGATTAATAAACATCTCTATTATGAGATTTGTGTGTAGAAACGTTTTTTACTCAGAGATGCCAAGTAACACATTCAAAGGCACAATATGTAAGATTTTTTTATTAAAATTTCCAAAAACCACTAGAACAGTGTTATATATTTTGCTGACTTGTGTACTTACATTATCCCAAATGTTAAAAGCAATTTTAACTAGTGACACGGACCGTGTCCATAGTGTCATTGTGTCGCCTGCCAGTGACGTCATAACCCCTCAATTTCCGGTTTTGTAGAAAACATGGAAACAGCAAAGACGCTTTAATATGTTATGCATTTTAGTAGACAGGTGACGACTGCACAAAGTAGCATTATAACAGAACTTTCAAATGTATGATAAAACAGCACTGCCCATATACGCACGCCCAGGAGCGGAAGCAGTTCACTGTGGCATAATAAAAGCTCCGCTGCATTCGAGCAATGTGTCGCGCTCGTTTAGCGGCCTCGTTTCGCTTCGATGGCTTTCCGCCTCACCCTGCTTCATACTACGACGTTAATAAATCTTTAATACATTAGCTCATGCATGAACATGATTTCTGCCCGAGTCCCGTCGCATTGCATCGGCTGTGGGGATGAAGACGGCAACTCCCATGATTCCACACTCAGTCACGGCGTCATCAAACTACGCCTTTGTTTCTTTGTTTGTTTTGAATACGCGCCCTCTAGTGGCAAAAAATGACATATTGTGCCTTTAACATTTAGTTTTGAAGAAGAAAGGCGGGTTACATCAACAAATTTGTAAGCACTTTGTAATACTTTTTTTCACATGTAAATACATACCTTTAGGGATAGCTGTAAGCCTCGCTTCAGCTATTCTCAAGTAGAGAGTCGCCATGTCGTCAAAAGCCCCTGGGTCAATCCCGCTGTTTGCAATTGGATTTGCACTCAGTTCTAGAGATGCAAGGAAAGGGGACCACTAGTCATTTACATAGAAAAATGTGACTTATAAAGTCATGGATCACTCCATGTTGGGTTTTCAACTATAACGCCATATTATCCCCAATCAAATAAATGCAGATCGTAATGTAGACACCAGAGGGCAGAGTGTTCTTTAACTGTAAGTCACCTGAGATCAGTTGATTGAATTGAGCTCGTTCTTGTCAGACATAAATAGTGCGTAAGATCATTTATCTCATTATATAACCAGTATTAACGAGGTCATGACGAAGCAAGTTGTCATCTCAATGTGTTGAAGCATGTGCGCTAACTGCTTAGCATGACTCGCACCGTGTTTATTTAAGGTCATCACTTAGGAGACCTACCTAAAACATTTAGGTCTTGCATTCCTCTAAATGCTCCTTTTGGAAGTCGGCTGATCTTGTTGTCGTGCAGTCGCAGTGACTGAATGCTCGTGGGAAGGTTCTCAGGCATTTGTGTCAGCAGGTTGTATGACAGGTGGAGAATCTTGAGTTTGTTCATGTTGCGAAAGGCCTTTGGGTGAATTTTTGATATCTGGTTATTGAGCAGAAACAGGGCCTGCAAATACAGAAAGGGAATAATAGAGGTATATGACCATATATAACCACAAACTTTATATCTGCCATTTTAAAAACAGAATTCCTCAATCAGTCAATCAGAATTGTAAATTTGTTATGACTTTGAACTTAAACAGTGGTTTTGTGTGATTGAATGTAAAATAAATGTCCAAGGTGGACATTTCTGTCTTTCTACCTGGCTATGTTTTTGAGGAAGGTCCAGCTATTATTGCACATTAAATATCATTATTTGAAGTATTTTTTGTAGATGACATAACCATAACAATACAAATAACGTTCAAAAATGTTGATAAAAATTGTTTTGTGGTTGAACCATTGAAAATATTAGCAGAGAAGTAAAAAATCTGAACTCTTGGCCTGACCATTAAAAAAAAAAAAAAACATTATTTTATTTATTTATTTATTTTAGTATTGGATAATCGGTTCTGAATATGCTGGAATTTTCTGGAAAATCTGAAAATAATTTTTTCTTGTTGTTTGCAAGATGTGGGCTCTTTCTGTTTTTTATATTCTTGGTATTTTACTCCCTTTCTAGCTTGCTTAGCAAGAACATTTAACCATTTTACCACTAATCATGTGCAAATATTTACCACAAGTACGAAATGGTCCCCAGTAAATGCAAATATCAATAACGCTCAAATATGTGTCCAGAATTCCACATAATCCCGCTACCACTGCACGTCTCCAGATGTCCTTGTGTAAACCCAGTATAAAAACACACAACTCTTAAAATGCCCTAAAAGCATTTGATGAGGGTGTTTACTGCTCACATAGAGATTATCCAAGCCTTTGAAATCATCTTCCTTGATTTCCGTGATGTCATTGTTTTGGAAATCGACGAGCAATGTGTTTGCAGCAATGTCCTTTGGCACCTTGGTCAGACCTGTAAAGACAGAAAGAAAATGAAAGACCTATAAAGAAAAAAATGAAAGATAACTCTCATTGAGACTGATATAAAATGTTCAATTACCTCAATCAGGCTGTTCATCTTGAATGATTCATGTGAGATTTTATACTCTAGAAATTATTCTTTATTATAGTGATGTACAAAGCTGCACATTTTTGTGGGTTGCCTACTAGCTGACAAATTAGTCTTAAGAAAACCCCAAGTAATTATAATCCAGATCAGATGTGTTTCTTAAGACATTTTCTTGCATTCAAAAACAGCAAGACAGAGCACAATGGGACCTGACACGGAACGTGAATGTCTTGAGATGCTTTTTTAAAAATAATTTTTGTAATACATGTGCCACTTTCTTATGGAAGTTTGTTTTTGCCACGGGTAAAAAATAAAATAAAATTATAAATTAAGATAATTGCACATTTTAATCTTAATTCTAAATTCGGACAATTCAGACTTTTTCTTTCTCTTAATTCTGAGTTTACATCTTGGAATTCAGTTTATTTAAAAAAAAAAAGGGACTTTTTATCGCACAATTCAGACTTTTCTTCTCAAAATTGCGATTTCAGAATTGCGAAATTAACTTTATTTACATGGCCGAAACAAGCTTCCATGCTTTCTTAACGCATCTTAAAACGTCTGTCTTAATGTGCATTGCCGCAAACTGTCTTACAGCTAAAATACAGTATGCTGTTAGTCTATTAAATAAAACATAAAAACTAAATTCTAAATCATAGCTATTTAATACAAGTCGACCTTCTAAAATGACGAGTCAGACGCATACCGTCTTTGCTGTTTAAAGTAGTATCATGAAGTTCTTACCCTGATCTGAACACTGCAGAACTTTCTTTGAGCACCGACACCCTTCGGGACAGTCCGAAATAAAGTTATCATCATAATCATCGTAATGGTCATCGTTGTCATCATCATCGTTGTCGTCGTCGTCAAAATCACCCGCGTCTTGTTGCATGATGTCATGATGCTTGATGAAATCCATGACGTTGATAGGCGTGTATGGTTTGGCGTGACATAACGTCAGCAGGGTGAGTAGTAAAAGTACCTTCATGGTGCAGCTTTTGTCATAAATGGTTTAGCCCTGCGAACATGAGCACAAGTGCTTTGTCAAATTGTTCACGTTTTGGCATGCAAATGTTACATTGTTTTGTATGTTTCACAGGATGGAAAAAAAGTGAATTGGATCCCAAGGCTACTGGTTAGATTATTAGTTAGCATCACAATGAAATGGGCCAATAGGAATTGATCACAGGTTAAAGAGAGTTCTATTCTTACTAAATGACTTACATAGCACTTTACAATAACTATCACTACCCTCAGAGTTGTGCAATATTTTGGGCATTATTTGATTGTTTTTCAGGGTTTTTTTTCTCTAGCTGCACAATGTTGAATCCGATTCAGTTCAGTAGCATTAATAATTAAGAGGGCAAAATGTTAATGACTGCTGTAATTGTTTGCAAAAGAAGTTAAAATGAACCAGCTGCACTTGAACAATTGTTGTTTATGGACACAATCTTGTTTATGGACGCCTTAGTCATCAACGAATGACATTTAATGGCAAATCTAACTCATCATTTGATATGGTTGTATTTGGTATGATTCGTACATTTTAAAAACATTTTATTATTTAAAATAGAAAAGGAACTTAAGAATTCTCCTTTAGTAAAGAATAAGAAAACTTCAGTATTTGTTTTAAAACAATTTACAGATCAATTCTTCATCATTTATGATGCGGAGCAGCCCAATAGCATGCAACTTTCTCTAAACATGATCTCATATGTTCAGAGAAAGTTGACTGCTCAGCATCATAAATGATGAAGAATTGATCTGTAAATGTTTCAACGCAGCACTTTTAAATGAATTTGTACATCCCCGATTAGTATAATAATATGTTCTCTGGTTTATTCAAACATTTTGTGAATGTCTACATATATATGAAATAGAGCTAACTTAATGAGGTGAAATCACTCTTCCATAATCTAGAATCAGATAAAAACAACTTACCTGATGAATCTGTGTAATCCTGCTTCAAGTAAGCCTCCAGGGGTGAGATCAGTATTGCCGTGAGGATTTGTTGAGGCACAGGTCCTTAAATGCAGCGTGCACGAAAGCCCGAAAGGTGGAGATCACGCTCATCAAAGCATGAGATCCTTGAATGAATGGCGATGGAAAAGATGCTGCTGGATCAAGGAGCAGATTGGGAATAAGGGGTAGGAACTCTATGCAGCTCTGCTGGATGCTTAACTAGCACTGAACACTCATTGTTACCGACCGTATGTTTCTCATCAGCACTTAAAACCGAGCCAATTTTGTACGCCTACGTTTTCAATGGCCAGTCTGGGATATTCTCACTCTTTACATTACCAATGGGTGGTCTCTATTTTATCTAACTTTTGACGTATTGAAATATTTTAGAGTGCATAATTTGTGGGGCTATTTCTGGGTTTCTATTTTTAGATAAAACACTAAATCTTGTGATGTAATGGCTCGATTGTGATATAAAATGCCGGATGAAAATAGGTTTTTATCCTTAGTTTATAGTGAGAGATATAAATAAAAAAATGTTTACTTAAATTGTTAGGCATTAAAAATAATTCTGCTTTACTTGAGATGAATCCCATCCGATTATTTAGAATGACTGATTGATTCAAGAGCTGCCAGAAAGATCAATAATTCACAAATGACATCAATCACTTTTTAGGAAGGGAAATGCATGTTATCGTGACTAAATCATTCGTGAATCAGTGTAAATGGTACAAAATCTTGTAATTCCCAAGTCATAGGGGACCTTTAATCTCAACCTAAATGTTGGATAATAACTTTTCCAGACTTGACGGTGCTGTTTGCTTACAGCAGCACAAAACACGACCCCTCTCTATTCACGGGGCACTACTGGTGGCGCCACATATGCTTGGTTTTGGCTGGGGGTTTTGAGATGATGGAAGTTCCTATGTCTCATGGTTTCTCCGTTCATTCTCCTGAGTCTCACTGGCCGGCATTCCTTCCGAAATGATAACCAACCTCAAACCAATAAATGTTTGTGGTATGTCAAGTTGGTGCCGTAAATTAAAGGATGTAGATACTATTACATATGCTACATGTGCCGGTTCAGGAAAGTTTCCGAAAGAGTGATGAAATGCCAATAATTTCACTCAATCTTTCTCTAGTTATTTGTCTTTCACGCCCTCAGTCTTATTTGTTGTAATGTTATGACGTGCAGAACCATGGTGGAAATATCTCAAGTTCTAGGCCTGGGCGATAAAACGGTATCGATATTTATCGACGGTACACCTTTTTCGATAACGATAGAAAAAAATGTTCGATATAGTGCACGATATAGGCACGTGCTATGAGTGACGCAAACACACAAACACGAACACATGCTGATATGAGTGCTGTGCCTGCCTGTGATGTCGAGATTGTGAATAAAGAATGAATATTAGTCGAATCTGAAATAAACATTTGCATTTGAATGTTAGGTGTGCATCAGGGAGTGTCATCAGTGGCGAATGAGATGCGGGAATGATGGAAGTGACGTTGTTGCATTTTAATGTTTTGTTAGTCTAGCCCACGAGACGCACCGCTGCTGCGTTATTCATTCAAAATATTAGAGAAATATTGAAGCTCAATGCGGAGAAGATCTTGATTAGGTTAAAACCGAAACCAAGCCATTCACAAAGAACGCATATTCAGCGCATTTTTTAGACGGACAAATATGACTGCTGCACTCGCGTCTCATGCAAGAGATGTAGCCATTTAAAGTTAAAACAGTTTAAACTTTTAGAAAACACGTCGCAAATTTGTGGAGGTTTATTCCTTTTCACTGCGTCTCATGTTTTTAAATGCAGTCTGTGTGAATGGCGCTTCGGCTCTTTGGATTAAACAATGCATAAATACATGATGCTGTTTTGTTCATAATTGTTTATGCAATTTACGAAATTATAGTTAATTTAGACGCAGTGCACGTTTTTTATAGACAGTTATTTCCTTGCGTTGACATTGAAATGCGCTGCATTATTTTGCTCATTGTGCCCTCCTGTGGCCTCGGGAGACAAGACAAAAGTTTCCTATTTAATCTGCATATAAAACATTAGAAATTAGGTATTTGTTTAATTTTTATTTTGTGTTTGATTGTTAAAACAAAATATATTTGTTGTTTATCTCAATAAATTGGGTTAATTTAAAAGTACAGTGGTTAAATTTAAAAAAAAAATTCTATTGCTCTTTGTTTTAAAAAAGGTTATAAAAAATCAATAATTATCGATACCGAACGATATGAAACATTATATTGTTGATAAATATTTTAGCTATATCGCCCAGCCCTAATCTCAACCTAGCAAACACTTGTGCAGCCTTGAGACATGTTGGCAGTTTTCACAGCTTTGCTGCTTAATGTTTCTTACGCCACTGGAAATCTGTTTTTTATTTGTATCTGCTTTTTTTTTTGACAGTGTAGCTGTGTGTCTATGGCTTTTTTTTCTAGATGTGAAAGTGAATCAGTTTGGGAAAGGTAGAACTGACCTGACAAGTTTCAGGAAGGAGGATGAAATACCAATAATTTCCCTCAATCTTTCTCTTATTCTTTTGTCATTCACGCCTTCAATCCTATTGTATCGCATTTTATATCATATTGTTGTAATGTGTGGGATCTCGTTGGTAATGTCTCAACCTTGCAAATACTTGAGATATTTTGGCGGGTTTCCACAGATTTGCTTATCCTCTAAATATAGAGCAAGATCTAACTGTACCCAGACACTAGGAGGGGGTTGTTCAGCTGTTGATTATTTACCCCTCAAAATAAGATTGAATAAAAGCCATGTGACTAGTACTTGAGTCATGGATAGCTTCATGGAAAGCTTCTGAGATGATTCCCCTTCCAGGCTTTTTTTCCCTTTTTAGTCGTAGCCTAAAATCAGTGAAACCCCAATTCAACCTCAGAGGCATTTTTCAGTAATCGTCCCCATTTCACTGGCGATGATGGAGTGAGAACTCGGAATCTTAGAAGAATCTCGGAAGGAGCGGAAGACTATGATGTCATAGTCAGATCATTTACAGGGGTCATTAATGTGTTTCGGTCTGCAGCCATTTCATTAGCTCAGGACTTCTGTTGAGCACAGATGTTTTATACTGGGATATTTTGAGAAAGAAATACAATAGGTATTTTAGGAAACCTGTGTATGTGATAGTTTAATTTAACACTCACATTTGGGTCAAATAAGTGATTACGTGAAAAGAAAAATACATAGGAAAATGTTTCGTTGAAGCTGAATTGGTTTTCCCATTCAATTCTAAACTAGGCAAATACAAAACTTGAACCATGTAGATATCTTTCAATTATGCATCACAGTTCTCTCAGTAGTAAACGTCCTTTATTGGTCCTGTCTTAGTAAAAAAAAAAATCCATTATGTAAGCATGTTGATTTTGGCTGCTTTCTTTTATAAACACTTAAGAAAAGCCATGCATTCTGTTTTTCTTCACTATGACAGACGAACTTAATACTGTTATGACAAGAATAAGATACATCTCAACATAGAATACAAAGTTATAGTCTGCTACTTTATTCCTCTTGAACTATTATACAGTTGATTCATGCATCTTACAAAGACACGTCTAGACAGGCGCAAACAACGACAGCGTTCTGCTATGAGCCTCGAGGTGATGATCATGTTCAGTCTTATCTGACTTATAAATGGAAGTTTATAAAAGCTAATTAAACAAGACTGAAAATAAACAGGCCAATTAGAGATTCAATTAAAATTTTAGGACAAAAAAGTTATATTTTCATGATAACTGCACGTTTCACAGGAATCAAATTTAGTTTTATATTTACGGTCTTTAGTGGTTTATTACCGTATTGGCCCGAATATAAGATGACCCCCCTTTTTCCAGATGTACCTTTTGGAAAAAGACCTTTTAAAAACCAAATCTTGTTTTTTTCTCAGTAAAACACAATTTGTCTTCAATTATTTTCATATTGCATATTTTTCCTATTTTCATTTTTGTTTTGAAAGTATGGTAAAAACGGATAAAATGTACCAACAATCACATTTAAAAAATATACACTTTTTGATATACCATTAAAAAATAAAAAAAAAACAGGTAGCCCATCTGAATTAGGGCATTTAGGCTATCCATCTAATAGTAGCCTACCAAAATGTTATTAACAGTAGAAGTTAAATCTTACTGTAGTCTTCAAATCTGGGTACCGTCTTACGTTTTAAAATCACAAAGGGAGTTTGGTCCCATCAGGCTAACGTGACAGTCACAACTCATGCAGCTGTAAAGTTTTCTTTTTCTTTTGTTTTTACTCGCAATCTTTACAACACGCATTACATTACGTATTTCATGGCACACTCGTTTTGTGCGTATATGGTGACAACTATTGTTGTGGGTGTATTATTGACATGTCAAAGTCTAGACCCTGAATATAAGACGACCGCGTTTTTTCAGATGTATTTCCAAGAAAAAAACATTGTCTTATATTCGGGTCAATACGGTATAATAGAACACAAGATTGCAGTTACTTAATTCTCTGAGGCTTTAAAACAACACTAGAGTAGGAGCGGACACAGGAGAAAGCCGTGGATGGGATTTTCCGGGGATCAAGGAAATTGTTCTCGAGGCGAAGGGCAACTAGATGAGAGTCATCCTCATTCAAGGGGTCACATATGGCATTTTCTGATATGTGCCTGTTGGACAAAAAAACACTCAGGATCTCAAAGATTTCCATACATCACAAAAAAACAACAACTATATTTTCAGGAAATGTATCTTGAATTGGGGCGCATCAATACAAAATGTCTGCGCTGATACCGATTGTTTAGAGCGTATCTGCTGATACTGATAGTTTGGTCCATCTGCTTTTTATACCTTGTCTCAAATTAATGATAATTAATTACATAAATTTGAAAGTAATTCCACACAAAACCTTTTCTTCACACACAGCTTTTTTTCCAACCGTTTGATTGACAGGATATAGTCGGCCTTATAATAGCGGCAGTTTTTACATAACTGGCCAATATCCAGATATTTGTATTTATTGGCCAATACTGATTATTGGATTACACCCCTACTCTTGAATTTAAGTTTCTTGTTTTTATCACGTTGGGAAGTCGTTTTTTAATTGTATTAACCATGAACCTTAAAGGGATAGTTCACCCAAAAATAAAAATTACCCCATGATTTACTCACCCTCAAGCCATTCTAGGTGCATATGACTTTATTCTTTCAGACAAATACAGTTGGAATTATATTTATAATGGCAGTGAATGGCTGCTGATATTCAATAGTCCAATAGAAGTCCAAAACAGTGCATCCATCCATTATAAAAAGTGCTCCGGGGGGTGAATTAAAGCCTTCTGAAGTGAAACGATGCATTTGTGTAAGAAAAATATCCATGTTTAAAACTTTATAAACCATAATCTCTAGCTTCCGCTAACTGTCATACGTGCGTTCACGAGAGACTGATGTCCAGTGGATGATGTAGAATGAAGGTGTAGCGCAAGCACACAAGGATTTGTACTTCTAATTCGTGACTTAGAAGCAGAAGTACAAAACGAGGATTTGTAAATGGAAATATTGGAGGAGTTAATTATAAGCCAAGAGGAGCTTTGTTTCCTTTGCTGTAAACAAAACTTGGTTCTCATGAGACTAGCATATTCTCACCGGAGCTTTTGCTATGCCTACGTCATCTGCTGGAATGCCACTCTCTCTTGAACACGAGTGACAGTTAGCGGAAGCTAGAGATTATGGTTTATAAAGTTTTAAATATAGATATTTTTCTTACACAAACTAATCGATTCGCTTCAGGGGGCCTTTATTTACCCCCCAGATCCATGTAAGCACTTTTTATTATGGATGGTTGCACTTTATTGAACTTCTTTTGGACTATTGAAAAATAACACCAATTCACTGCCATAATAAAGCTTGGAAGAGCCAGGACGTTTTAAAATATAACTGATTGGAAAAAAGTCATACACACCTAGGATGGCTTGAAGGTGAGTAATTCATGGGGTAAATCTTCATTTTTGGGTGAACTATCCCTTTGAATTTAAAACAGGGTTCGCACAAGGTGCTTAAAGTGCTTGAAGTACTTGAATTTGACTTTTTGAAATTTAAGTCCTGGAAAACCTTGAAAATAGCCGTACTTGAAAAGTACTTGAATTTTTAAAATGTAGTATATATGAGATTAGTGTTATTTTTTGTTTTTGATAAAAACAATATTTTCATGCAAAATTAACAATGCAGCGTGTTAAATAAATACATAGCTGTTTCACCTGGCTTTAGGGAGCGCACGGGATCTCGCGATATTACTCCTTGAGGTGAAAAGCTGTCTCACGATATCAGTAAAAAGTTGAGTTTGTGGAAAAACCTTTGATAGTGCTTACATTATATTGTTCGGCCTTTTATTACGTGTGCTCTTTGTTTGGGTTTCATTTGGGGCTTTTATATATTATATGTTAAAGTCTATAACTTTATATTTATATTATACGCATATAAAGTCTTTGATGCGCTTTGTGTTGCACTGTTATCATTTACAAGCTTGGAGCACGTCTCCATCTCAGCCTCTGCATATGTTGTGAGGTTGGGTTGCTTAACGTTCATCTGGGAAAACAGTGCACGTTATCTCACTAGATTTGTAATGTAAATCATTTATAAACCTATGCAAACACAGGTGAATACATCGACACCTCGTGATTTAAAAATAAAAGTCGCCCTGAATTTGCTTGTGTCCAAATATTAAAATTAATTGGATTTAAAGAGTTAGTTCACCCAAAAATGAAAATTAGCCTGTGTTTTACTCACCCTCAAAGCATCCTAAGTGTATGTGTCTTTTTTCTTTCAGACAAAGTCAATCTGAGTTATATTAAAAATTGTCCTGGCCCCTCCAAGCCTTTCAATGGGGGTAAGCGGGTGTTGGTTGTCAACAGTTCAGAAGACGTGAAATAAAGTGCGTGCATCCGTAATAAAAGGTCCCTCACACGGCTCCAGGGGGTGAATGAAGGCCTCTTGTAGCGTATCCATGCATTTTTGTAAGATAAATATCCATATTTCAAATGTAATAAACACTTTTCTCTCACTTCTGCTGACTGTGGTACGTGGAAGACGTTTATTACGGATGCACGCACTTTATTTCACGTCTTCTGAGCTGTTGACAACCAACACCCGCTTACCCCCACTGAAAGGCTTGGAGGGACCAGGACAATTTTTTATATAACTCCGATTAGATTCGACTGAAAGAAGAAAGTCACATACACCTAGGATGCTTTGAAGGTGAGTAAAGCACAGGCTAATTTTCATTTTTGGGTGAACTAACCCTTTAAACGTTGTTGAATCACGCTGTAAAGTGAAACATCACCAGGCCGTTGGCGCCCTCTGCAGGTATTTGTTATAATACATAATGTACTTAAAGGGATAATTCACCCAAAATTGAAAATTCTGTCATTAATTACTCACCCTCGTGTTGTTCCAAACCCGTAAGACCTTCTTTTATCTTCGTAACACAATTTAAGATATTTTTTATTAAATCTGAGGGCTCTCTGACCCTCCCATAGACAGCAAGGGAACTTCTACGGTCAAGGCACAGAAAAGTACCAAGATGATCGACAAAGTAGTCCGTGTGACGAAGCTACGAGAATACTTTTTTGAAAACAATAATAACGACTTTATTCCACATTTTCGTCTCTACAGTACCATGACACAAGCATGTATTCTTGTAGCTTCGTAACATTACGGTTGAACCACTGATGTTACATGGACAACTTTGTCAATCATCTTGGTACTTTTCTGTGCCTTGACCGTGGTAGTTCCCTTGCTGTCTATGGGAGGGTCAGAGAGCCCTCAGATTTCATGAAAAATATCTTAAATTGTGTTACGAAGATGAAAGAAGATCTCACGGTTTTGGAACAACATGAGGGTGAGTAATTAATGACTGAATTTTCAATTTTGGGTGAACTATCCCTTAAAGTTGGTAATGTTCATATAGTCACATTACATTATGTATTTTAACAGTGTTGTTCAATAACACCATGTAATTACTTGGGTTTGATACTTTATTTTAACCAATTATGATTGCCTCATAGTTAGTTTATATTTAAATATAGTCACATTAAAGCCTGTTTTTTGCTTAGGTCTATTTTTATTACTAAAAATATCAGATTACTCAATTGTCAAAATAATTAGTAGATTACTTGATTACCAAAATAACTGTTAGTTTCGGCCCTAGATTAGTTAAAATATTTAAAAATACAACTGCATTGTTTTGCATTTTGTGATTAAAAGACAAATGTTTTGTAATTTAAAAATTCTTAAAAAGACTATTAAAATATTGTCCCGTTCTAGTGAACCAAGTATATGTGTTTTGTCTCATCTTGTGAGCTAAGTTTATTGTCACACCCCTAGTGTCGATAAGCGGTGATATAGCTCATAATTTTCCAAGTGTATGATATAGCCTAGCTTTCATTCTTCAGGTCAATTTGAATAAGGAAACTATAATTTTGCCATAGTATCCTTTTAAATGTTAAAGTTGCCACAGTCGTTGCATGCTTTGCTTGTGCTGCACTTTAATTGTAGCATTTTGTTTTATTAGTTTATTTATTAGAATTTGAAAGATGATAACAATATTGTTTGATAAGTGAGATCTCTGATTTTAGTCTTTGAAAAAAAAATAGTGCTTAAAAATCCTTGAATTTCATTTGTCAGTAACTGTTTGAACCCTGTTAAAACAATAATTTTGCAATTGGAGAAGGAAAATAAACTTCTTTTTCAAGATAAATTGTCTGAAGCTGCTTTGAAGCTATGTAATTTGTGTCAAGTGCTATATAAATCTAAGAGTACTAAGTCACAGACCATTGCGTCACAGGAAATTATGACAAACTCATTACTCTTTGCAGGAGGCAAGCAGTGTACCTTATTTTGTTGTTGTTAAGTCGTAGGAAATGTAACGCTGTCATCTCATTAATTCCCATAGGAATAGACGTAAGCTGGTTATGGTCTAGACAGAGTTCGGTCATAGTGTTGAAGATGCCAAAGAAGGACTCTGGCTCGATAGCATCACCATCCAGCTTGTTGTAAGAGAGGTAGAGGTACTCCAGGCCAGGCTCCATGTGTGCAAACACGTATCCTGGAATGCGTTCGATCTGATTCCCAGCCAGCACCAGGTGAACCAGTGACTTTGGAAGGAAGGATGGAACCAGGTGGAAGTTGTTGTGCGAGAGATCTACAGATTCCAGGTTCCTTTTAGATACAGTGAGAAAAGGCTAAGGTGTTCATGTGTTTAAAAAAAGGGGGGGGGAAATCCAGAAAGGGGTTTTCACTTCTAGAAAATTGACCACTTTTCATTTCTTCCAAAGGACTATTGTGCTAAACTCTTGCACCACTTTAACATGCAGTATTTCAGTGCAAAAACATATTTACTAACCACCAACAATTCATTGGAACCAAATGTCTGCTATTTCAATTTTCAATTTTTATGAAACAAAAGTGTGCAATATTTGCTTAAACAATGGTTTCATTGTTAACCTTTTTGAGAACACACACCTGTGATTAATCCAGGCTAAAGGTGCAATGCTTGACTCATCTAATTTATTATGTCTTAGCACAACGACGTTGATGTTTGTGGTGTGGTTGAATGCCGTTTCAGAGATTTCTTCAATCAGATTGTTTTCGAGGTACAACTCCTGAATGTCAAAGAGAGTATTAAGTAAATTGTACAGCTTGCTTCATTGAATAAAATAAACAGAAACCGTTGTTACTTGACAATACAATTAAATTTGACTTGAGCAGCTTCAAATTACTCAGTGGTAAAGTTGTGGGGTTGGTTTGCCAAAATTGCTGTTTAAGTGCCACTGGTTTCCCACAGGTACTGTAAAACCAGTGCTGGTTTATAGCCCACAAACTTGTATGCAATTAAATGAACAAGATTTCTTGATGTTCCTTGACTCCAGAAGTAGTTCTCCATTTCGAAACTCACCAGTAGAGATGCAGGTAGGCCCTGAGGAATGGTACGGAAATGGTTTCTGCCTAGGCGAATGTAAGTCAGCTCTTTGAGGGGCGTAAACGCCTGTGGATTCACGTTACCTTCACTGAGCAAGTTCCCCTCCATTTCCAAAGTAACCAGACTGCTGAGACCTTCCAGGAATTATGAAGCAGTTTGTGAAAATATTGTGCTTTCATAGTACAACATTAGGTAAGGACCATTTCATGCTAGTATTAGTTGATTAAATGTCAGCATTTTATAGATGTTTTAATTATGCTAACCTTTTATACATAGTAATTTTGCGTAACTGTTTTACCTTCAAAGCTGTTTTCCTCAATTTCTTTTAGATTGTTCTCATTTATCTTGAGCTCCTGGAGTGTTGATGGGAGCTCAGAGGGAATTTGTTCCAGAAGGTTTCCATCCATGTACAGGCGAGACAGGAATTTAAGACCCTTAAAAGAAAGTTACATAAAAATCACGTCATTAATCTTTAGGTGTGAAAATAAAGGTCACATACAATATGCTTTTGAATCCTTTTGTGAAAGTTTTCCACTTTCTGGCAATGCTTTGGATACTTATCTTTTGTTAGTGACACATATCCATATGCCGAACCAATGTCTGTATTGTATATCTGATCGTAACTCCAAACTTTCTGATGAATTGACACATTTTCTGGGTACTGTATAAATATTATATATTTTTCAATACTTCGCCATTTGTTCAGATGATGGGCATATTTCTACTGGTTAGAGCCCAGCGAAAATAGGAAAGACTAGCATAGCATACCCTCTGTTGTTTCTCTTGAACACATGCCATGGAATTTTGTTTTTATTTGAAAGTCTGTGCAAAAATAGCATGACTACAAGTGTCAGGTACAAGTTGATATAGTGGATTAGAGTAGGATTTGTGACTTCTGTAAAAGCCACACGGCTAAGAAAAGAACAAATTGTTGGAGCTCAGCACTGTTAGGTTTGCAGATGGTACTGTTTTTGCATGGCTTTAAACCGTTATGGAAGAAACATTTGCTTCTCTAATTCACCTAAAGTTCAGCTGGAAGATATGAATTTCTGAACAAAAGGGCAGCAGGGGAAAGTACATTATCTCAATTGCCAGAATGCTGCATGGTCCTAAAAAAAATCTATGTACATGTCAGTCTAATTGAGCAAATTTACACTCAGAATGGGTCCATTTCATGTCGAAAGTCAGATTATTTACACTTCTTATTATCTGTCTACATTAAGCAGACTTTTAAGAATCCCAACAACAGTGCAACAAGATTTCGTTACAGCCTTGTTCAGCAGCCTTGCAGATCACATCAAAACTTTATTCACATGTTTTGGGGGGCCTTTAAGATCTTTTCACACAAAGTCTGATGCAATTAACTGGCATGAACACGTACAGTATCTGCACCATTTTTTGCACCACAGCCATTCAGTATCGCACCACATGTGTGGCATTTAAAAATAAAAATAAAAACATGCAAAGCATGAATGTTTTGCCATCTGAGCAATTGCAAATTTGGCTAGAAAAAACCCCCAGAAAATTGCAGTTGGATCATTTGGGTGGTCACAATGTTTCTCTTGCCAAAAGGATGTTTATGTGTTTGTTATTTGCAGTAGCATAGCATACCCTCTGTTGTTTCTCTTGAACACATGCCATGGAATTTTGTTTTTATTTGAAAGTCTGTGCAAAAATAGCATGACTACAAGTGTCAGGTACAAGTTGATATAGTGGATTAGAGTAGGATTTGTGACTTCTGTAAAAGCCACACGGCTAAGAAAAGAACAAATTGTTGGAGCTCAGCACTGTTAGGTTTGCAGATGGTACTGTTTTTGCATGGCTTTAAACCGTTATGGAAGAAACATTTGCTTCTCTAATTCACCTAAAGTTCAGCTGGAAGACATGAAGTAATTCATATGAATTTCTGAACAAAAGGGCAGCAGGGGAAAGTACATTATCTCAATTGCCAGAATGCTGCATGGTCCTAAAAAAAATCTATGTACATGTCAGTCTAATTGAGCAAATTTACACTCAGAATGGGTCCATTTCATGTCGACAGTCAGATTATTTACACTTCTTATTATCTGTCTACATTAAGCAGACTTTTAAGAATCCCAACAACAGTGCAACAAGATTTCGTTACAGCCTTGTTCAGCAGCCTTGCAGATCACATCAAAACTTTATTCACATGTTTTGGGGGGCCTTTAAGATCTTTTCACACAAAGTCTGATGCAATTAACTGGCATGAACACGTACAGTATCTGCACCATTTTTTGCACCACAGCCATTCAGTATCGCACCACATGTGTGGCATTTAAAAATAAAAATAAAAACATGCAAAGCATGAATGTTTTGCCATCTGAGCAATTGCAAATTTGGCTAGAAAAAAACCCCAGAAAATTGCAGTTGGATCATTTGGGTGGTCACAATGTTTCTCTTGCCAAAAGGATGTTTATGTGTTTGTTATTTGCAGTATGTGGTAAACTAGTATTTTAACTTACTTGAAATGCTTGTGGGTCTATGCCAGATGACACAATCTTGTTTTTCCCCAAGTCTATCCACTCTAAGTTGGGAATGCCATTGAATGCTCCAGCAGGGATGGTTTTGATTTCATTGCCTGTAATTTTATAATGCATGACAAGTTATCAAAATTAGCCTCACTGAGATCTGTATACATGGACGTGGACTGTGTAAATACTGGCGTATGCACTGATTTAGACTTAATTTCTTGCATGTGTCTTAGGTAAGTGATCTAAGTTCCATTGCAGCGCCTGTATCTCTTTACGACCTGTGAAGGGGTTATACAGGGATGCGGCCTTCCTCACCCTGTAGGCTGAGTGATTTGAGCTCAGGGATGGACAGTGGAGGTATACCCATCAGTTTAGCGTTTTCACAGGTGACAGTGACGTCAGAGATCGAACAACCTGGAGGCAGCAATGTGGTAACCATCTCAGATTCCTCCTCGACTACATCTGTTTCCTCTTCACCTGGTTCAGGGCTCTCCTCGCCCGGTTCGTGGTCCTCCTCGCCCGGTTCGGTTGGCTCTTGAAGAGCTAAGAGAGGAGGAGAATTTGCTGCTCTCGTTGGTGGCACTGGTGGCATTTGGTAAACGTCCCCCCTCAACCAAACCATGTCCTCGTCTTCAGTGGCCTCGTCTCCGCGGAGTCCTACCTGGGCACGTTCGGCTGCATCTTCCAGAGCTCTCATCATCTCTCTTTGCTCCATCTCCAGCCTATGAGCCCTGTCCTCCTCAACCTTCCGCTGTTCTTCCATCCTTCTTTTCCTCTCTTCCGCTGCTGCTTTCTCCTCTTCCTCCTCTTGTAGCCTCCTTAGCTCCTCCTCTTTTTCTCTGGCTTCTTTCGCCTCTTTTATCTTCCTCTGTCTCTCAGCTTCTTCTTTCTTCTGCTTCTTCCTCTGCTTGCGTTCAGCGTCTTTTTTGCGAATGCGGTCCTCTTCATCCTTTTTTTGTCTTTCTTTCTTATCTCTCTGGCTTTGTGATATTTCAGTATAGGGATCACCGAGATCGATGGGAGAAGGAGGATCACCGGAAAAGTCAGGGGCATCGACAACTGAGAATGTGACAATTTTGAGTTTATAAGACAAGGAGAAATGAAACATCATAATTTATATGTAAAGTATACTGGCAGTTCTAATGCCATGCTTTGGTATAACTTCAATTGTTTTTCCAAACCTGGGTCAATGCAAATTGGGCAGCACTCTCCTATTGGTTGAAATTTGAGTTGGCACCGCAAGGCGGGACACAGTATTCGGTCGCAGACCACCTCACCGCTGGAACACAGGCAATTCACGCATGGCTTTGGCGACCACACTGTTTTATCATACATGGTGATGCCTCGAAATACACAGTGTTCTGATTTTGCTGGAATAATTATACAAAAAAAGAAGGAAATGTAGAAATGTGATCAATATACAACCTTTCAGGAACATAAAATTAGCTTTGCTTAAAGGGATAGTTCACCCAAAAATATAATCTCTGTCATTAATTATTAAGCCGCATTTTGCGTTTACGGGGCTGTTAGATGATTTTGTAAACTAACACCATCTGGCAATGTTGTCATCCAGTACGATAATCTGGCTGATGTAGATCAGTTTATCGCAACACTGTTTTTCACTTGGCATATAGAGTAGTAGCTTTTCTACATCTACATTCTCATGTAGGGAGATCTTAGTAGTCAATGGTGTACACATGCTAGCAATACAGTAGTAAAATGAGTCTGCTGGGAAGTAGTGTTTCTTTCTGTTGTTTTTATGGGTTCTTACTGACCACATATGTGCTGTTTTTCACACACTTCTTTGGCTAAGAATTAGGTCTGTTATTGACTCTAATGCTAAAGACACTTACAGTGTGTTGTATAATCATGTGGTCAGTGTTCAGAACTGACTGTTACCACCTTGGGCAGAATGGTCATGTACTATATCATATAAACTAACCAATGTGATCCTACGCTATAAGGCAATTTGAAGACTCTAAATGTATACTTGAATTTTTATTACTTTTTTTTCAACCTGTAGAAGGAATGAATATCCATTCACAACATCAACTGTATTTTTATATTTTTTGTATACAAAAAACTCTTCGCTTATAATAGACTTCATTGACATTTTTCATCATCTATTCCGGTAATACTGCTGGTTGAATGATAGGTGGTGCTTTTGGTGATTTTTGTTGTTCAGTTGCACAATATATATTAAAGTGCCCCTATTATGGGTAATGAAAGGTTTATTTTTTATAAAGGTTATATAGGTTTTGGGACTCCCCAACAACAGGTTGACATGCATGCAAGGTCAAAAAACACTTTCATTGTCTTATAATATGCATTTATTTTTACCGTACTGACTCAACGACTCCCAAACGATTCGCTCAATGATTCATTTTTCCGAACCCCTCCTTTGCGTGACGCTAATCTGCGGTGATTGGTCGGATTGGTCTCATTCTCATTTCATCATGCCTGTAATGCCTGATAAAGCAGCGTTTGTGAGCGCAGTGCTGCTTTGTGTACAGCGTTACCGGGAAAACAGCTATTTTTACCGCTCCAAAAGTGGCACCTATTGGCAAAGAATGAATTTGCATTTTCATTCAATGTGAAACCAACGTGAAAAGCCCAACAAGTGGGCGGGCAATATGCTAATGTTTCATGACTTGGGATTCATTTTAAAAACGACTCGTTTCAATGAGTCGACTCTTTCTTTTGAGAGACAATAACTTTATACACGGTGCACTTTCCGATTTAAAACTTTGCAGGATGTTTTCATTCACAGCTGTTACACACTGCATGAAAGGTCATTTTCAAAAATCCACAATAGGGGCATTTTAAGGCAAGTCAGTTAAATTTCAGTATATACACAATGGATTTTTTTATGTTGATTTTTATGTTTAAAAAGTCTGTTTTAACAGTAAAAGATACCATCAGCTAGTCATTATTCAACTTTTTGTAGAATGGTCCAATTGAAATTATGAGTAGTTTCTAAATTGACAAACTACTGTAACTTTCTTAACACTGACCTGCAGTCACTTCGTAGTTTGGCTCTGGCTCCTTTGTATTCTTGTAAGAGTCAATGAAAATAGATCCATCTTGTCTACTGCTTTCTGCTGTTCTTCCGTGCTGCAAGGCGGTATTAGATGTCTGTTTTCTTGCTCGTTTTGGTCCAACACCTCGTCTTCTACCTCGTGCCAAGGGACGTCTCTGATCATTTGCGAGGCTGAATGTCATACAGGCAAGGAATGACAGTGCCAGAATCAGGTTTAGTCTCATGGCTGAAACCTGTGGGATAAAACAGGCATTTCAGCCCTACGTGTTCCTCATATAACTCTGTTAATGTATACTGTCAGCGTTCACATTTCCATAATGATAAGTTACGGCATCACAGGTGATCCAGCCTTTAACAACTTGACCCTGGAGAGCCAGACAGCTTTGATGGAATAGTAGCCTTTAACACCTTTACTGTAAGAGTAAAGAGTAAAACTGTTATTTGGGTGTGTGATGGGTGGTGTTTAGAGGACTGCAAAGGGTTTTTAAGTATTATGTTCAAATGTAACAATCATAGCACAGCTTTTAGTAAGAACAGACTTGGTCTTGATGACATTCAAACTCTCAGGTTGTAGTGATGGGAACTACAGCTCATTTGTGCAAATTAGTTTTTTTAGAAAAGTTTGGATCCACATCGACTTCAGATATTCCAATGTGCCATATTAAATTATCTAAAATGTTCCAATAAAGCCATATGTGTGAACATATTGCTATTCATTAGGTTGTTTTCAGTTTTATTAATAGTGTTTATGGTCAATTCAGTTTGTTGCAGCCACAATTCAGCTCATAAAATAAGTCATTTAGAACTTAAATATAATTTGCAAGACTTGGCTGAAAAAGGTTTTGGATGATGTAGCAACATTCAAATCATCATTAAAATCCTATATGCATCAGAGATGTTTCTTGGTTCATTGAATCATTGAGTTATTAACCTGGATCATTACATTTCAATATGCAGAATGGTAATGGAATCTCTTTACGCTGTTTTTTTTAAACGTTAAACCTGGTAGCAATTTCTGAGTTGTGATCAAAGTATTAGTTTAAATTTAAATTACTATTGGAGTGGTTATTTCTGGAGGTTGTTGGAGGTGGTTATTGGAGTTTCTGAATTGCAGACAAATTTTTACATTTAAATTATTAGGGGAATGGTAATGGAATTGTTATTAGTTTAAATTATTTTTTTTAATTTAAACTTATGAATTGCTGACAAATTGTTACATTTAAATTATTAGGGGAATGGTAGTGGAATTGTTATTAGTTTAAATTATTTTTTTTTATTTAAACTTATGAATTACAAACAAATTATTACATTTAAAGGAATAGTTCACCCAAAAATGAAAATTCTGTCCTTAATTACTCACCCTCATGTCGTTCCAAACCCGTAAGACCGTCATTCATCTTCGGAACACAAATTAAGATATTTTTGATGAAATCCAAGAGCTTTCTGATCCTGCATAGACAACAACGCAACTGAAATGTTCAAGGCCCAGAAACATTTTTAAGGACATCGGTAGAATAGTCCATGTGACATCAGTGGTTCAACCTTAATTTTATGAAGCAACGAGAATATTTTTTGTGCGCAAAGAAAACAAAAATAACAACTTCATTCAACAATTTCTTCTCTTTTCTTCTATTTCTTCAAAAATATCTTAATTTGTGTTCCAAAGATGAACAAAGGTCTTGCAGGTTTGGAACGACACAAGGGTAAGTAATTAATGAGTAATTAAGTCCTTAGCCATCTTCAAAAAATGACTAAAAACACATCTGTTCCATCTTTATTTGACCCTCTAACTCCAGCACTTTCTATTCTATTTTAATTCTACTTTATCTATTTAACTTCTTTTTTATTTAAAGAAACACTAGCTTTCTATTTTTTCTATTCTATCTACTTGTTTTTATTTGTGTATATATATATATATATATACAGGTGCATCTCAATAAATTAGAATGTCATGGAAAAGTTAATTTATTTCAGTAATTCAACTCAAATTGTGAAACTCATGTATTAAATAAATTCAATGCACACAGACTGAAGTAGTTTAAGTCTTTGGTTCTTTTAATTGTGATGATTTTGGCTCACATTTAACAAAAACCCACCAATTCACTATCTCAACAAATTAGAATATGGTGACATGCCAATCAGCTAATCAACTCAAAACACCTGCAAAGGTTTCCTGAGCCTTCAAAATGGTCTCTCAGTTTGGTTCACTAAGCTACACAATCATGGGGAAGACTGCTGATCAGACAGTTGTCCAGAAGACAATCATTGACACCCTTCACAAGGAGCCACAAACATTCATTGCCAAAGAAGCTGGCTGTTCACAGAGTGCTATTTTGTTAGTTTTGATTGCTTCTATTGTCCTCATTTGTAATTCGATTTGGATAAAAGCAAGTGCTAAATGACTAAATGTAAATGTAATGACAGAATTTAAATTTAAATGATTGGTTATTAGTTTAAATTTAAGTTTAAATTGAATGGAAACTCTACATTGTTTTCACATGGTAAGCAGTGTTAATTTCGTCAACGACATTTTTTTCACAGATGACAACGAGACGATAACGAACTAAAACTCCTTTTGAAGGACAAAAACTGACGTAAATCTATTGACATTTTCATCAACGAATAAAAATGAGACGAAACAAATATTAGGGAGGGACAATTTGGGGAGAGATTCATTCAGAACGAATCTGCTGCGTGGTTCGAAGGTTAGATGCGTACTACACATGAACCGGCGGGACATGAGCTAACACACTTGGTTGCTGCACGTCGCATAAAACGTTAAAAAATGTCAATATGTGGGAGTAAGAGAAGATCAGACATATGGATAAATCTGACGACGCAAGAGAGGACTCAATTCGGTCCGGTTTTCTGAGTGCAGACACTGAAGCATAGGCTACACACAGAAAGCGCGACTCACAGCACACAACAATTACTCTCTCGCTTCGCATGAACGGAGAATTACACATAATATTATGTAGAAATGTCCGTTTTGACGAGTATTCACATAAACACAGTTGATTATGTCTTAAGTGAACGTAAACAGTAAGGAGAACGTGTCGCAGTACATTGCATCCATTGCAGCTGTGCGTTTGGTTTTAAAGTGACAGCAGCCTAATTTAGAGTCATTGATGTTAATCAAGCAACAAATGAAAGACAGAAAATCACGCACTGCTCTTGACTGAAAAATTTTAGGAGCACTAAAGATTAATCTAAATGTATTTATAGAAATAAATATGTCTGCTTGAAAGAATGAAGAAGATGGTAAACAAGTTGCTATAAAGAATGCATAATTAGCCTATATAACCATTGGTATTTCATTAAAAAGAAGACCATGTTCTTGTTCTTTATGAGAAGTGGTTTTATTTAATTTTAACATAAAGGCATGTTGTGTGTCACCACAGTTAAATCGGTGTCTATCATGATAAAACCTTAATATCAAACCTATATAATGAGTTTGGACATTTTAGAGAAATGCTTAATAAATGTAACTAAACCCATTAAATTTTAGCCGATTAAATTTACTGTAGATTTAGTCGACTAAAATCTTATGATATTTAGTTGACTAAAATTAAAAACAATTCAGATGACTAAAATATGACTAAAACTAAATGGCATTTTAGTCAAAAGACTATGACCAAAACTAAATCAAAATTTGCTGTCAAAATTAACACTGATGGTAAGAAATTATTAGTTCAAATCTGATTATTTCGGTGAATAGTTTTTTTTGACCGTTCACAAGACTAAAACGAGTAATTTGTTCGTAATTCAGAAATACAGGTTTGAAGTTTTAAACACAGCAAAAAGATTGTTACCATTCCACTGTATTTTATTTGAAAATATATCAGTGCATCATGCCCCCTGTTTTAAAGATTTCTAGTTTACATGCTGAAGAATCTATATTTTTGTACAGATCTGTTACTTGCTTCACAAAGTTTAAATATCTTGCAGAAAAAGCCAAGCCAGACAAGGAAAAGATGACGACACTGGTTACCCTGACTTGCAGTAATGGGAAACGAGAATAAAATCAACAGCTGAGCAATGCTGATATGAGTGCAGGGGGCGTCTACAAGCGTCAATCCGACCCTGAGGCAAAGTCATACGGTTAACATTAAATCAGAACTGCGGTGAGATGAAGCAAAAAAAAACACCCCAGAAATGTAGACGAGGGGGGAAACGTTTTAATTAAGCTCTTTAGGATGACCAGGCTCAGATGGAAAGAATCTATAAAACCTACAGCTTAGACAGAGAACGAGAGGGCTGAAATATACTGCCGTGAGTAAAAACATCCTAGCGGGGCGTGCATGATATGGGGTCCCCCTCTCTCAACGCTGTAATGAAAACCAGGTACGGTAACGCAATAAGCACTTTTACAGTCCTGCAGCTGTACGCTAGTGCTTCAGTGAGACAGACCTATTTCCGAAGACATTTGTCGTCACTCCATTTGCAAATGTCTCAGTGTTTAGCGAAGAAGTTCCAAACTGCATGCAATGAGAAGTTTTAATCTATAAACCCGTAAAAATGTGACATGCATCCCGCAGATGGAAAAAGAAAACAATTAGTGTTGTACAAAAAGTGTTTTACCACATAACTGAGGGTGAGAGCTGAAAGAGAGGAGAGATTTGTTTGTACGTTACCACTGGTTTCGGGCGCTTTTGTGAGGCCAAATATTTCCGCTCTTTCCCCAAAAGCTGTGGGATTTGCCAGCAATGCAAGAAGTGTGTGTGCGTCTGCTCCGCAGCAAGAACGCTGATAAATGTCAAAAACAGACAGGGGCTGCTCTAGCGTTTAGTCGGGACTCGCTCGGGCAGAACTTCTCCAGTTCTGTCTCTGAAAGTTTCAGTCAAATGAGGGTCATGACAAGATACTGCCTCTCTCAGGCGAAAGAACTTGGTGATTTTGTGCGACCTAATTACTAGGCTAGGAAGGGTACTGTACTCAAACAAAGAGGTGGCATCTGGCTTGTCATTAACCTCTCTGTAAAAACATTGTGTAAGTTCTGAAAATGGGCTGTAAATGCTCACAGAGTTGCTTGAATAAGCTTATCAGAGGATGTCTGGACTGGTTTTCGAGCTTTTCTGGATGGGTCTTCAAGTCAACCCCCTACTGTCTAATAAGACGGCCCCATCTCCCATTTCAGAGGGTGGGCATGTTGAGCCGAGAAGAAAGATCTCAGTTTTCTCATCTTTCAGTTTTGTATACGGAGGGGTCGTGGTCAAGCAGGCGTGTGCTATAATTAGATTGGTATGCTCAAAAGTTTTCTTCTGTTGTCCATTATTTCTCATAATGCCTCGTAAGAAACCAAACTCTTGAAGGATGTATTTAGGCAATTAGTATCTGTATAATATATGATAAAGATCTATATTCAAAAACAGAAGCTGATAACAAACCAACTTAAGTTTTAGACTAAATCTGGCCAATTAGTTTGTATATCTTTCCTCTGCCAATGACAATATTTCCAAGGGAAGCTAATCATGCTTTGCGTGACCTAACTGTTGTGTAATAAGATTTATTTGAAGACTAGTTAGTGAAACTAGTTAGAAATATTAAACTCGCACAGCAGATATGCCATTGTTATTTTAGTCATTTATCACAATAAAGTTTTATATTTTTAGATCATTTGACATTAAACAAACTGTTCATTTGTTTTGACTAGATGGTTTGATTCATTGTTTGTAGACAAAGACAAATATGTTAAACACAAGTTGTGCAGTTTAATAGCAATTCGTTATGAAGATTTGTCAAATCAGACAACCAATTAAATTTAACTTGATGTTTATGAATTAAAGTATTAAAAGTTTAAAACAGAAAAAAGTAGTGCAAATACTCTTTATGCACTTCAAAGTTTGACATTTTGTAAATAACCTTTTAAAAACTCCACATAGTCTTTAGTGAGCAGAAATTACTCACTTTTTTTTTCTCGGGTTAGGTGCAGACAAACTAGGAGATGAGTTTTAGACATTTTCCAGAGCTTTCAGAATTAAACAACCTCCAGAAACTGCAAACGCATCCAGCCTTAGATTAAAACTGATATCACTCTTACACGATCGAATGTGTTGACGTTTATTGCAACATCTCATCCAGGTGTAAGTAACCTATAAGTTGTAATGTGTAAAAGAATGTGTATGTTAGCGACAGAACTGTAAATAGATGAGTTTTATGAGACGTAGATCAAAAGAGAGTTTAACTGTAGTGTGAAATTAATGATGAAAGATGTTTCAGCATCGTAGGATGTTTTGACTTGCCATCAGGTAATGACCGGAGCTCAGTGACTCAACCAGCTGGAATGAACAGCTGCGACTGTTCTTTATACTTGAGCTTTCTTTATACATGTTCCTTGTCTTAATTGTGCATGATTCATTGGTGTACTTGAACCCAAAGGAAAAAAACATCTTCAGTATTTTTCTTCAAAATAAATGTACTTGCTCCGCCTCTGAAATGGCTTTCCTTTTCAGATGACGCTAGCAAGTCAGTCCCATCCTTTTAAGACTACCTGTCCTACAGAAACCACTTTTCCACATTAAGTCCCTCCCTACCTACTGTTTTCATGGAAGTAAAATGGTTCTAAAATGGATTCCTCATGCATTTCCACACTTACTTTTCACTTCTTGTTGAGTTACGAGGATTGGACGTTCTTCTAGTTCTGTTTGGTTGTAGACCCAACCAACATGACGTTCTTTTCTTGAAGAAACTCAACAGAGGATGTTGAATTTAGGATGTCTTTAAAAAAACATCACTCTTTCCACAGATGAATTCCATTGGTTAGAATGGTCTGTATAATATCAAGGACCATTTCAGATGTACTTTGAGACCCAGAAGACTATTTCACACACATGCCTTGCACCATGATAATGTCTGTCAAAATGCTGTACTGTGTTTTTTCATTGCGTTCAGACATCTCTTTCCACTGTGGTAATGTCGGTTTGCTTCAGCATCTGGTTCAGTATATTTCCTTATGGAACTTTTAACATAATGGAAGATTTTATGTTGTGCCAGAGAGCTTAAGCACTCAGCAGTGGCATGTGTGTAGTCAGCGGTTTTGTGTTTCTTTCCTTTTAGCTGGGTACCTCAAAATCACCCTCGAGGCATTTAGATTAACAATTCCGTTTTGGGTCATCCACTGTTAAAGGGGTCATATGATGCGATTCAAATTTTTCCTTTCTCTTTGGAGTGTTACAAGCTCTTGGTGCATAAAGAAGATCTGTAAAGTTGCAAAGACTAAAGTCTCAAATCCAAAGAGATATTCTTTATAAAGCTTATGAGTCAACCATGCCTACCTAAAACACCTTGTTCTAACACGCCCCCACATGTCTACGTCACGATGTGGGAAGATTTGCATAACGCTGCCCAAATGTTCACGCAAAGAAAGAATGGCGTAACTTTTATTCTTGCTGTAGTATTGTTGTTGCCGCCGCCGCCATGTCATGAAGGCGCTGTGTGTTTCGTTGTGAAAGCGAAACTACTTTGTCTGGCCTTCCAAAAGAGGACGATATCGCTTCGTCATGCCTAGAGCTGATCTGTGCTGGTTGTTGAGGAAATACATCAACTTCGTGCTGTTGATCGCTGGATCGGCTTTCACCATGGACGAAGCGGAATCCAGTCCGGGGTCGTCACATGTGGTTGCCGCAAGCCCGCCCCAATCACAGCACACCTCGCTTTTCAGACCGATGAGCTTTGTAAAAATCGATGCGTTTCAGAAAGGCGGGGCATAGAGGAGAAACAATAATGTACAGTATGTGGAAAATAATGTGTTTTTTGAACCTTAAACCACATAAACACATTACACCAAATACACAAAATAATGTTCTTTTTAGCAACATCATATGACCCCTTTAACAAACCTTGGTGTAAATTAAATAATGATTTAATCGGTGCAACCAGTGTGTCCGAAAATTTACTTGGAGTCTGAGGATTGCAGCTTTACTGATTTCTCTTGTCAAGTTTTTAAACGATCCAGTGTTGGCCTCTGAACAAGCCCAGAGACTCTGGTTGTCCTGTCTGGTGTTTTAATAACTGTTGACAGAGATCGGTGGGGAGTATAACATGTCGCTCCAGGATCAGACAATAGAGGTACAGAGTTCAAATAATGGTTGGGTTGTGTAACAGATGCTAAATTAATGGCTTAGTTCAAGGAAGCCTTGAAGCCTTTGGTCAGACCTCTGTCACGTTTACCGAAAATAGTGGTGTCTTTTAAATAACTGTTAAATGTTTTAGGTTAACACGTTGACAGAAAATGCTTCATGAAGTTATTTACAATATTTATGGGGGGTGAGGGTTGAAAGTCTTGGCAAATGCTTTAATTATATGCTAGTTTTCCCAAACAGATTTGAAATCTTTCATGTAAAAAGTAAGCAAAAATATTTGTTTGTACAGATGAAGATTTGTAAAAGCATACAACCAACAACAACAAAAAGTTTTGCATAAGAGCCAATTTATAACTATATATTTGAACAAAATGAGTTTAATCTGTGCCAACAGTGTGCAAGAAATAAACTGGAAAGAATACAGTCATTGTGACTAAATACAAATTACATAACTCATTGATTGACCTGAATCAATGTGTACGTGTAAAAATAAACATTTGCAAAAATGTAAATGTCTCGCTCTAAGAACATAACAGTGTTTTAGTCTTCACAAGGCCGTAAGAAACATCACATTTCAAGATACTCTTTTAGAGAAAGTCTCAGTGTTTACCAGAGGAAACATCAAGTTAATGGTGTAACTGACAGCATTTCCCAACGGTGTAATGTGGGAATTGGGAAAAAATTCTGGAAAGTTCTGATGTCCAATGGGAAAGTCTGATGGGTTTGTCTAAGGGATTTGTGATGTCTTTGTTGGTTGATTGTGGGAACATGGTGTCAATTATCATATGTTTTTAATTACCTAGTTGAAATGCAGACAAATGAGCCGAGTTAAATTTAAGAGCAGTTTTATTAGATGTCGTAATTACTTATTAAAACATTCTGAGTATCTGTACATGTTTTAATATGTAATTAAGGGACGCGGTAAGTAAGGGTATAATTTCTAACTGTATTTAGTGGTTTCTGCAAAAGACAGAGAGATGGAAATATTTTTCTTCTTTTATTTTATTATTTACTGTCAGTATTAAATGGTTCTGTGTATTCAATCTTCTCTTTTGTGGTTTAGAGTCCTGAAGGCATGACTGTTAAAGGTCTTTAACTCAACTAATTATTAAAAAACACTTGGTGTATTAAAGGAATAGTTCACCTAAAATGTCTGTGGAATATTCTGGATTCTTTTTCAGTATAATTGGGTTAGATCTATTCAGTCCATCAGTTGATCTAATTTACAAAACTGATCTGAATGATCCATTAATGAATTAGGTTGATCCAGTTTTCAAGTTACTGCCTCAATGATTCAGTCACAACAGTTAACAGCTCACTGCAGTGAAAAATTATCAATGAATAATGAATTTGGGGGTCTTTACCTTACATAAAAGTATCATATTACTTCAGAAGACTTTTGAATGTACATGTATGCATTTCGCAGATGCTTTTATCCATGGCCACTTATGAAAGAGGAACAAAAGCAATTCGTCAAAGAGTATGTACCGATTTTGAGAGCTTTATGTTGCTTTTTGGTGATTTTGGAGACTAAAAGCCCTTGTCCTTGTTCACTTTGACTGTATTTGAATATTTAATTATGTAGTTGCAAGGACAATCTTGAAAAATTCTAATTTTGTGTCACAAGAAAGAAAGTCAAAACCCTTGACATGGAGGGGAATAAATCATAACGTTTTGAGTCATTTATTCCTGTAAGACATCAAAGCTATGTGCAGACAGTCTCAGACTGTGACTTCAGTGTATTCTTGCCTTGTTATGGAGCAAATTCCACTTACAATTACGCAAATCTCTAATATGTAAATTTCTCCACATATTTTGTTCGTATGTGTTTCGTTATCAGCCGGTGTTTTGGAACCAGGTTGCTGTGGGTCAGATGGAATCTGTCGGGATTTTGATCCCTTTAACAAACAAGTGGTTTGTTTGGCAGGAGAAGTACCCAGACGTGGTCAGCCTTCCAGAGGGATGTCGATCCGAGCTCATGATTATAAGAAGTCCTCAACTTCCAGGGTAGGTTGCATCAGCTAAGAAAGTGAAATGGAAACCGCGGTTCATAACTTCTGCTGTTTTCCATCTGTTGATGGCACATGAAACATTTATTATGTCAAGTGACGGCAAGTTCCTGTATCTTTTTATGGTGGCCACGACTGATATATCCAGATTACATGCTTGAAATATAGAAAGAGTCAATGGCTGTATGTCTCAGGATCTCCATGACCATATTCTGGAAGATCGATGTGTCCATGGAAGGAGTGGTAAAGCCATCGCTTGAGCTCCTGCTGAAAATGGCAGACCAGGGTAAGATTAACTGGGTGATGAGTGAAAAATACATTATGTAAGGGATAATATTGCATCAGGGTTAACCATCTTATCCTGCTTATTAGATAGATTAAAAGTCTTCAAAGGCCATTTTTACTAGACTCATAAACTAGCCAGTTTTTGATTAGCATGATGCCATCAATTAGCTACTCTATCTTGCATTGGTGGAATAAAAAAGAAACATGAAAATAGTCATGGGAATGGTTTAAATATCATGGAAGTCCTAAGAGGCCATGGAATTATTTTTTCTTTTTTGTTTTCTCCTGATAGGTTATTATCTGAAAGTTACACAACTGAAGCACTAGGTGGCAGTAAATATAACTGATGGGGTATAACTTTGTTGAGATCAAAAGAAAATTAAATCATGATCACAAGATAACTTTCGTTATGTTGATATCACAAGAAAATTCCGAAAGTGAAGTTGTGATAATGAGAAAACAACTTTTGTTAATTTGAGATGATGAGAATATTAAAAAAAATAATTGATCACGCTGAAAACTTTCGTTATGTCAAGATCACGAGAAAATTAAGTTGTGACGAGAAAACAACTTTCGTTATGTCAAGATCACGGGAAAATTAAGTTGTGACGAGAAAACAACTTTCGTTGTCAAGATCACGGGAAAATTAGGTTGTGACGAGAAAACAACTTTCGTTGTCAAGATCACGGGAAAATTAGGTTGTGACGAGAAAACAACTTTCGTTATGTCAAGATCACGAGAAAATTAAGTTGTGACGATAAAACAACTTTCGTTGTCAAGATCACGGGAAAATTAGGTTGTGACGAGAAAACAACTTTCGTTGTCAAGATCACGGGAAAATTAAGTTGTGACGAGAAAACAACTTTCGTTATGTCAAGATCACGGGAAATTTAAGTTGTGATGAGAAAACAACTTTCATTGTTAAGATCATGAGAAAATTAAGTTGTGACGAGAAAACAGCTTTCGTTATGTCAAGATCACGGGAAAATTAAGTTGTGACGAGAAAACAACTTTCGCTATGTCAAGATCACGAGAAAATTAAGTTGTGACAAGAAAACTTTCATTATGTCAAGATCACGAGAAAATTAAGTTGTGACGAGAAAACTTTCATTATGTCAAGATCACGAAAAAATTAAGTTGTGACGAGAAAACAACTTTTGTTGTCAAGATCACGGGAAAATTAAGTTGTGACGAGAAAACAACTTTCGTTATGTCAAGATCACGGGAAAATTAAGTTGTGACGAGAAAACAACTTTCGTTATGTCAAGATCACGGGAAAATTCAGTTGTGACGAGAAAACAACTTTCGTTATGTCAAGATCACGGGAAAATTAAGTTGTGACGAGAAAACTTTCATTATGTCAAGATCACGAGAAAATTAAGTTGTGACGAGAAAACAACTTTCGTTATGTCAAGATCACGGGAAAATTAAGTTGTGACGAGAAAACAACTTTCGTTGTCAAGATCACGGGAAAATTAAGTTGTGATTGAGAAAACTTTTATGTCAACACGTTATGTGATCACAAGAAAAAAGCTATTATGTCGAGATGAGAATTTTTTTTTAAGAAATTGTGATTACGAGAAAACTTTCGTTATGTTGAGATCACTAGAAAATTAAGTAATAATCATGAAAACAGCTATTATGTCGATCACAAGAAAATTAAGTCATGATCACGAGAAAACAAGAATGAAAAATAATCCATGGCCTCATAAGGCTTCCGTAAAATATAAAATTTACCAATCAGAATCAAGTATTTCAAAATTGTACACTTGTATAATTCATAATAGTGACTTAGAATGTGGTACAATGATCTAAAATGTTTTATTTTGTTTTCAGCTCGGGAGTTCGACGGATTATTTTCAGAGCCTCCTGCGGGTTCTTGGGGTGGAAGCATCTATCGAGGGCTTGATAAGAACTGTGTTTGTGAGAAGTCAAAAATTAAGCCAAAGTTCACGCTGTGGGAGCTTCATATCTAATCGTTTATTCGATATAAACACCTGTACAATCACCCGTTAGGAACTACATATTGATGCCACCTGTACGTCTCAATCATTTTTACATATGATATGCCCACACTGTATGGAAATATACATCATTAGACAAGAGCTAGAAAAATAAATAATTTTAAATACAAAATGTTTGACAGCAAAATCCACTTTGTATTTTCAAATAGTTACATTTTAACATTAGATTCCATCACAGAAATTATTATCTTCCTTTCTTTTCTTGCTTAATAACAGAATTAATGTCCATTCCTACCTACATAGTGATTATAGATCTTTATTTCATTAGAATAACACAATGTCACCACCTCAGACTCATAATATCTCTGGTTCAAAAGGGGAAAGATGTTGTTAAAACTAAGGCAAATACAGCAATGTCTGTTGTGGAGAAACTGCACTTTTCAATCAGTTACTTCGTAACACATCAAAACATGACAGTCAAACAAACGCCAAACGAAAGCGTTTTCGCTCACAGGTAAGGCGTATTAATACTTCTCTTGACACCAGTTCACATTAAGACAAAGGGGAGTGTGAACACAGTTTGGCAATGTTGAATGTTCATCCATGTAAAATGCAAACACTGTTCGCCTGATGGGAACTGCATTGACGACTTTGAGTTAAGCAAGCCGAAGCAGTTTGCATCACGCTAAAAGAGGTAAACAGAAGCGTGAGCATCACTCACGCCACAGTACATTGTAACAGTTATATTCCCCATAACAGAGAAAAGCGACCATGAGGTGCCATCTTTAGTGTTAGTTACACCGTAAAATCTGCGCAAACCGTCAACTGTGGTTGTTTTTACGATCAAAGATGTCAAACTCGCAACTTGTGTAACATTAAATCAACTCTACCACTTCTGTGGCCTATACTGCTTCTCTGAAAAAAAAAAAACACTGTTGGAAAAACTGCTGGATCATCCTTTTTATTGTGCTAAAAAAACTGGCGTACGGTCCATCTTTGGTCGACTTATGAAATATGTCTGGCTCTGCAACCAATTACGGCCATTAAAACTAAAGCCAAACGTAACCGTAGTAGCGTTCAAGCTGCTGGGGATGGATTCCTCTGGTTGTTTTCTGCTCTGAGACAACTACGCATATCAGTGTCAAACTCTGAGACAAAGCCATCGATGACGGACAGACACAGACGATTTTTCATTTTACAGCAATTTTTCTGGGAAAAACAGTGGTGTTTTATTTTTGAGATGATGGACTAGCTTTAAAGTAGTAGTTCAACCAAAAATGTACACTCCATCATGTCTGTACTAATGTTTTCCAAATGTTTTACCAAACTTTTGAAGAATCGTTACGTAACTTTTGCCATACAACAACCGTTGTGACCAAAGGCTGTAAAGCTCCAAATAAAGCACCATAGGACTTGTGCACTGAATTTCATGTCTTCTAAAGTCAAACAAATTTCAGTCGTTATTTTTAGTCGTTCTTTCACAATACCTGGTCAGAATGAACTGACGAGCTGCGTAACGATTCTATCAAACGGGTTTGCGATGACATGAGGGTTAGTAAACAATGGACTTTTTTTTTATTTTTTATTGTGAACTACTCTTTAATAAGACACTTTGATTTGTATACAGCGGTTACGCCAGCCGAGCGTACGTTACAAAAATACAATTTCAATAGCGAGTAATATCATTAGGCTTATCTTCTAATTGATAAAATCTATCTTACGGGTAGTGACGGTGTTATCGCGACCTCATTCGCTAGCATGCAACAGGTCTGTGCTTGTCAGTATAACTCCCGCTACTGTAGCTCGCCGAGGGTCAGAGGTTTGAGGAGCTCTAGGGATGAAGCCGCGCTAAAAACTCAAGTACTTGTCTGTTTTTGAATTCCAAACTGCCTGTACAGCAACTGCAGACACGGCCAAGCTGATGCACGGTAAAACATTCATTGGGGAAAATTGCTGTAAGCCACTTTTGGCACTTGGAAACCACAGTAGCGCTGCTGCGTGCGAGAAACACCCAACAGCACTGCACAAAAACACACACACACACACCCTCCATGTCCTCCCTTTTTACAGCCAATGACTGACTCGTTCAGGTATTCTGTGCTTTAGGAGACCAGCCCCAATGAGAACCCTCAAAAAGAAAAACATCAGGTCGCTCTGGCAACAACTGCGAATGCCAAGTTCACGGGAGGGCAAACAACTAGACAGACTAGCAAACAGAAAAAACTAAATTGTATCACTATTTCAGCTTCACTTCTAGGCATTTCCCAAGCAGCACTTGTAGAGGTGTCTCATACAGCATGGAAGAGCAGCGTGCACTCCTGCCTTTCCTTATATAGGCTGGAGGGGGGCAGAGCTTGCGTGCTCCGCAGGTAGTAGTTGACGATTTTTGTGTCCAGCTTGTACTGGTGAGGGATGCCTTCATACGGTTTGGGGTCCAGATCCAGGATGGAGACTGAATACGTGAAACGAGGCTTCTCCAAATTCAACTGGTGTCTGGAAACGAAGCGAACGAAAAGTAAAATGATGGCAAATGTCAAGGAAGATAAATCAACCAGTGATTTTAAAGGGCGAAAACTGACTTACTCCTCATCTTCCTCACAAGGTGCAAACGTGATCATGACTGAGCAGTCTTTGGCAGTCATCGCAACTCTATACTGATGAACCTAGAAGGTAACATCTGAGAGTTAATCTTAATCTTTAACTTTTTTGGGGGGGGGGATTCTTAATTGCCACCAAAATATATACAAAAATGTAAACTTCTCAGCATCACGTTCACGGTCTTACCTTCCCAACAGCATATTCTACAGATCCGTCATCTTCTGAAGGACAGTTTTTCACCGTGTCCATGAAACTCTCATTATAAGGCCCATCTATCTGCAGTCGGTTTCTGAAGATACAAACAAGTGTTGATTGGATGTTAAAGTGCCTTTAGGCAAGTTTATTCATAAAGATGATGTGGCTTTGCATGGAAATCACTTAGGACCATGTGGCACGGGACCACCATGTGGCCGCAGTGCCCCGTGACTTGACTTGAACTACTTATATTCACAAATGTGTCTTTTGCACCACCTAGTGTCTGTTCAGTCTTTCAGGGAAAGTAACAATTCTTACTATTATAGAATGAAGTATATAATAACTGGTTAGGATTCATCAACTGTTCTGAATTTTTATACAATGCTTTCAGTACATGTGAACACTGCATAGATCTGAAGTATTTGCCCAATATAAACTTTACTCAGCAGGAACAAAACGTTCTTGCACTGGCGTATTGATCTGATAGATTAGTAAATTAGCACTCAATATCCCCGATTAAAAATTCACCTTTCTCTCGGGAACTCTTCTAGATACTGCTCCACGCGTTTGTACAGAGGGTAGATTCCTTCAATATCCAGGTTATCCAGCATCTGGACTTGGAGGATTTTTGCGAGGACACTGTCTTTAGGGAGGCCGTGGTTACCTGTGAACACATGGAAATGAGTGTTCTACTGGTCTTGCGTAACAGATTTATGACTACCGGAATTTCTATGCCGCAATAATCTGACCTTTTATACACCTCTTAATGTGTCATTTGAAATGCAGTTTATTTTCTTAAACTGTGTCAAGCACTTTTGCTCCAGTTCACTCCTACGCATATATCGTGACTCATCAGTGAAGTGATTTTCATTGCACTTGTTTAGCAATATTTTGAAGGACATAAAACCATGTTTTCCCACTGACGGCCATCCAAAGTCACTGGTAAAGTCCTCACCGTTGCGGAGCAGGTCTCTTGGGAAGGGACTGGCTTCACAGTGCGGCCTGCTCTCAGACAGGTGCACCTTCCTGGGCTCTCCCGAGCGATTCGAGTCCCCGCCGCTGAGCAGAGCGGAGCAGATCACCTGAATGAACTCGTTCAGGACAGCTTTGCCAGGCTGGTGGCCGTTATAGAGGCTGTTACTATGAGGGAAATAAGGCCGAAGGTGCTGAATAAGATCGTTCAATTCGGGTTGCTGCTTGGCATCGTCCTTACAGCTAAATATCAACTCTCCGCCCTGAAGAAAAAAAAAAATGCGAGAAACAACAAATTAATGCTACTTTTCTATTTATCAACCATTCCTAATGGATTAAACCAATATTTGTGTAGTAGCTAGAGTTTGAATATTTGATTTTCTTTTTCCCCAGCTGGTTTGCTGGTCTTTGGTGGTTTAAGCTAATCACAAATCCAGGTTAAGTTGGTGGTCAGCAAAGCTAGTTTCCAGCTTAAAAACTAGCCAAAATCCCTCTAAAAGCAGCCTGAATGGGCTAGGAGACTAGTTAAGACCAGTAAACCAGTTTAAACTGTTTATTATTAAAGGGGTCATATGATGCGATTTCAATTTTTCCTTTCTCTTTGGAGTGTTACAAGCTCTTGGTGTATAAAGAAGATCTGTAAAGTTGCAAAGACTAAAGTCTCAAATCCAAAGAGATATTCTTTATAAAATTTAAGAGTCAGCCACACCTACCTAAAACGGCTCGTTCTAATGGTGCGTTCACACCAGACGCGAAGCGAATATGCGCATCGCGCCACTCGCTCTAGATTACTCGCGGCATGCTTTTGCGAGAAACAACAAATTAATGCTACTTTTCTATTTATCAACCATTCCTAATGGATTAAACCAATATTTGTGTAGTAGCTAGAGTTTGAATATTTGATTTTCTTTTTCCCCAGCTGGTTTGCTGGTCTTTGGTGGTTTAAGCTAATCACAAATCCAGGTAAAGTTGGTGGTCAGCAAAGCTAGTTTCCAGCTTAAAAACTAGCCAAAATCCCTCTAAAAGCAGCCTGAATGGGCTAGGAGACTAGTTAAGACCAGTAAACCAGTTTAAACTGTTTATTATTAAAGGGGTCATATGATGCGATTTCAATTTTTCCTTTCTCTTTGGAGTGTTACAAGCTCTTGGTGTATAAAGAAGATCTGTAAAGTTGCAAAGACTAAAGTCTCAAATCCAAAGAGATATTCTTTATAAAATTTAAGAGTCAGCCACACCTACCTAAAACG